GTCATACCATTTACAACCGCTAGATGGAGCTATTTCACATGTCATACCATTTACAACCGCTAGATGGAGCTATTTCACATGTCATACCATTTACAACCACTAGATGGACCTATTTCACATGTCATACCATTTACAACCGCTAGATGGAGCTAATTCACATGTCATACCATTTACAACCACTAGATGGACCTATTTCACATGTCATACCATTTACAACCGCTAGATGGAGCTATTTCACATGTCATACCATTTACAACCGCTAGATGGAGCTATTTCACATGTCATACCATTTACAACCACTAGATGGAGCTATTTCACATGTCATACCATTTACAACCACTAGATGGACCTATTTCACATGTCATACCATTTACAACCGCTAGATGGAGCTATTTCACATGTCATACCATTTACAACCGCTAGATGGAGCTATTTCACATGTCATACCATTTACAACCACTAGATGGACCTATTTCACATGTCATACCATTTACAACCGCTAGATGGAGCTAATTCACATGTCATACCATTTACAACCGCTAGATGGACCTATTTCGCATGTCATACCATTTACAACCGCTAGATGGAGCTATTTCACATGTCATACCATTTACAACCACTAGATGGACCTATTTCACATGTCATACCATTTACAACCGCTAGATGGAGCTAATTCACAAATCAGGATGAAGTACGTGTCTACCCGTGGCTAGGGGGTGTTATGTGGCGCCAGCTTTAAAACACTAACAACAACAATAACAACTTTCAGGCAGTGTTAAAACAGGCTTTTAGGTTTTAAAACATCGCGAAAACAAAACGATCTAGCTTCAGAACCATGTAGACTGCAGAAAAAACTAGTTTGTCATACAACTACTCATAGAATCAATGGAACATAAACCACAGTTAGCATACAGATGATATAAGCCAAGCCAAGAACTATAATAGGAGATCGAAATGAGTTCGGTCTACACCCCCCGCGATAGTATATGGGAAACGATTAAGGTAGGAAAAATGTTTGTCTCTGTTTATTGTCGAACATAGAAAAAACATTGTGGCATGCTAACTATACAGTCAACCTACATTAAGGAAGGCCTAGTCTTTTCATAATAAAAGCCATGGGTATGTATAAAATTAATATCGTAACAATGATAGAGATTTTAACCGACGCATCCAGCATCATCAAGCGTCGGATAAAAATAACAGATAGCAGATAAAAATAACAGATAAAAGGTAACAATAGCATAGAAAACAGTTAAAAACATCAGAGAAAAATAATATAGTTAAAACAATCTTTTTAGATAAAACGATGCAATAACTCCAGCAACTACTCAACCAATGATTAAACCAGTAATGAATTATTCCTAATGTATAAAAACAGTATATTAATATAACATATAAAACACTTACTTTTTTGCATCTTGACGAAGGTGAGCGGTGATGGCCTGCAGACAAGGGTATTTGACAAATGTTTTTGTGTTTGGCTGGAATCCGAGCTTTATTTATACACCTGTAGCACGCGGTGAAAAATACTGCTCTTTCGCCACTAGATGGAGGTGTTGCATAAGGAATAACTTCGCATCCAGGATGTCGCTATCGCTGTCGTGATGGAACAGATCGCAACCATAGCGTCATAATTTAATCAAACCTGTCAAGCGCCCCGCGAGAATGATTACCAGCCGTGTTTTAAAAAACAAACGACCGGCATGATCAGCCATGTGCAGCGGAGATAAATGAAGACAAAGACGTCATATCGATGTTAGGATCGGTTGTACGAATACAGACCGCATCTCGTGTATCAGAGATCGATTGTTTACTGCTTTGACACCCTGACACACACACACACACACACACACACACACATACACAGACAGGCATGCACGGATAGGCATACATGAGACACGATGCTTTTACTTTTATAGACACTGTAACTCGACTGTTTACTTTTATAGACACTGTAGTCACGACTGTTTACTATTATAGACATTGTAAACTCATTCGTGAGAAACGCTGTTTTTTGTTTTACAACTTTTAACTGCATGTTTCAACCATACAGTTAAATTATTTTATAACCGATTCATTTATACTCTTTTAACTGCATGTTTTCAACTTTAGTTAAATTATTTTATAACCATATCATTTACACCATTTTAACTATATGTTTTCAACTTTGGTTAAATTATTTTATAACCATTTCATTTATACATTTATAAAGAATAATATGTTTCAACCTTAGTTAAATTATTTTATAACCATTTCATTTATACATTTATAAAGAATAGTATGTTTCAACCTTAGTTAAATTATTTTATAACCATTTCATTTACACCATTTTAACAGTACGTTTTCAACTTAAATTGTTTTATAATCATTTCGTTTATACATTTATAAAGATCAGTATGTTTTTCAACTCTAGTTTCATTTGAATAATATTTTAAACGATAGACCCTGTTTATGTAACATTGTTTCAGATATCAGAGCTGGAGAGGTATGCGAGAACCCCCGTGACACACTTGCAGAGGTAGGGGGAGCGTCTGTGACACACATGCAGAGGGAGGAGAGGGACGCCCTGTGACACTGACTTTTTTCGGCTCACATTACACAGGAAACCACAATGGCCTCTGGAATGCCTGTGATACATGTTCTATAACAACCGCTTCAAACTTTCTGCCATAAAAACGCACAATGCTTATGTCAAAACACTTGATTGATCAGATAGCTCAACACCACAACCCTTATCAATACAGGCCAGATGGTCAAACTGTCAAAACATTTCATTGATCGGATAGGCGGGGTCAACTGCTCGACCCTTATCAATAGACGCCGGATGCACAACCTGTCAAAACGCATAATCGATTGGATGGGTGGGGTCAATAGGTCAATCCTTATCTATACCGGATGCACACCCGGAAAAGGCGGGACCGGAAAAGGTCAAAGGTCAAGGGCAACCGGAAGTCATCAATCATTTTGACACATGGTGTCCGGTAAGGACTACTCTTATCATTCGCGGAAGTCAACACAGTCTACTCATTATTACGCAGACGAATGTCAGCTTTTTCATAGAAAAAAAAGTAAGTTAATACCTTAATCCATTCCGAAGCTATAGAGGGAATGCATTAACGTCACTTCCCCGCCGGAACACGCCCCCCTCAGCGGGACTGAGTGGCAGAAGAGCTGCTGCGTGACTGGAGTTAATAGGGGAAACTGCGTTAACGCGAGTAAAACAAACTATTATCAGTTTAAACTAAAAGTTGGACTCGATATAGTGTTCCTTACAACTTATCAAAGATCCAGTGATCCATGGATATTGACATGCAGCCAGGAATCGTTTCCTGACATTTATATGTGCCTGATTTCGACGCCGGGGAAATAAATGAAGACAATTTGCCTGTAAACGTTTTATATAAATACAATATAGATAGGTCTAAATCCGAGTGATCACTTACATTAATGTTATACTGTATATCATCATATCGTCCAGCCCTAAAACTTGTATAGTTTTTTGTCAGTGTTTATTTAAAAACATCCAATTATGCAGAATATAGTCTGTTCTGTAGCTTTTTGCAGTCTGTTAAAATATACAGTACCTCAGATTTCTGGTCAAATCTAGTTGTACAGTCAATCGCAAAGCTCTTTCCCGTTTTTCCCGCCGACGGTGACGTCATGCGCATACCCTCTTATAGAGTAATTGTCTTATAGAGGGTATGCGCATGACGTCACCGTCGGCCGGAGTGAATGCGGTCACGCCCACAAGTGGCAAAAAGACTGAGCGGCAGCATTTGTTTTCAGCGTGACCGCCGTGAAAATCACACAAAACACATCTAAAACGGGAAAGAGCTTTGTGATTGACTGTACAACTAGATTTGACCAGAAATCTGAGGTACTGTATATTTTAACAGACTGCAAAAAGCTACAGAACAGACTATATTCTGCATAATTGGATGTTTTTAAATAAACACTGACAAAAAACTATACAAGTTTTAGGGCTGGACGATATGATGATATACAGTATAACATTAATGTAAGTGATCACTCGGATTTAGACCTATCTATATTGTATTTATATAAAACGTTTACAGGCAAATTGTCTTCATTTATTTCCCCGGCGTCGAAATCAGGCACATATAAATGTCAGGAAACACGATTCCTGGCTGCATGTCAATATCCATGGATCACTGGATCTTTGATAAGTTGTAAGGAACACTATATCGAGTCCAACTTTTAGTTTAAACTGATAATAGTTTGTTTTACTCGCGTTAACGCAGTTTCCCCTATTAACTCCAGTCACGCTGCAGCTCTTCTGCCACTCAGTCCAGCTGAGGGGGGCGTGTTCCGGCGGGGAAGTGATATTAATGCATTCCCTCAATTAATAGATATGTCAGGGGTGCACACTTTGATGCTCTAGACTAGAGCAGTGTTTCCCAATCCTGCTCCTGGATATCCAACACTGCACGCTTTCTTTGTCTCCGTCCTTAATCAAACACACCTGATTCAACTCATCAGCTCATTATCACATGGGGAAAATAAATGAATGTTTGCAATTTTTGAGTTCTGTGCTCTAAAGGCAAATTTCAAGGTTTTAACTGTCCAATAGAGCTCAAAACACTTCACTCACGTGTCTCTGCGCTCTTTATAGTACACGCCTAAAAACTTCAGACCTCTTTCACTTCTCCTCTAACAGAAAGAGAAGAGAACGTAAGAGGATTGAGTTGACATCTCAACTATAGCAAGCAGCCTAAATCACAATGGAAAAGTGTAAGAAGTTTTTTTGTGAATACTCTACTCCACGAATTCTAGTGGTAAAATCCGCCAGACTTGGAATAGTTTATCGCACGTATCAGTTGTCTGCGATTCCTTTGATTTTATGGTAAGTTGCTTAAGTCTAAGTCTAATCTAACCTAAATGATTTGCAAACAAATGACATTCACACAGTTTATTTCACAGACCTTCAGCATACAATAGTAATGATTACTTATTTTGATTCTGGTGTGATTCTGATACAGTTTTGTGATTATATGTGGAGACCACCAGGACACTGACAACATCCTTAGCTCTGTCACAACCAAAGTGAAAGGCATCGCTCTAACAAACACCACCGAGCTCGGTGAACAGATCTGGGATGTGGCTGAATACATCATCCCACCTGAGGTAGTCTGTTGATATGGTGCGAGGTACAGGCTAGATGATTTTAATTGCACAAATGAACTCTTGACAGTGCCAACACATCACGTCAATGACCACAGAGAAGTTACTGGCTGAAGGATTTTTTGCATTCTCATACACCACTTTGTGTTTGCAATGTCAGTTAAAAAAATGTATGCTATAATACAGTAGTTCTGATGAGCCTTTGTGTTATCACTATTTTACCACATTGTGTGTAATTTTGTGTTGTCTTTGTTAAGAGGGATAAAAACTTGTTTGGTTAAAAGTAGCCCAAACTGTACTGTTCTTAACTAGACTCACGAATGCGTTAACACAGGATGTGTGGTTTTATACAGGATGTGTTATTTTTAACACATCAGTTTTAAGAGTGCATTAGAATTACATACAATGCATACAGTTTTTTTATTTACAGGCATAAAAACAGTGACTTCGATTACCATATTAGGATAAAGAGAAGAAGAAACTATACACAAACTTTATTGGTTCTGTATTGTCACCCAGTGTTGTGTGTAACTCATTACAAGTAACTTGAGTTACATAATCAGATTACTTTTTCAAGTAACTAGTAAAGTAACGCATTACTTTAAAAAATGTGCAACAAAATATCTGAGTTACTTTTTCAAATAAGTAATGCAAGTTACTTTGTTTTTCCATTTTTTTGACTGACAGCTCTCTTGTCCCCATGTTGACACAAATCAAAGTGCTGAGGCGTTGTGTGTGTGTGTGTAAACATGATGGTTATTGTAGTTCTAGATTAAATGTGAGTGTGCATGTACTCATCTCACTTGCACAAAGAAAAGATCCAATATTCCTCAAAATGAATAAAATCACATTTTTATTTTTATGCATTTAATCTCACTTTATTGACAAATGTACTTTCTTCTGACCTTCGATGATTCAGTTAAACCATAAGCAAAAATGACTATAGACTTTTTTTTTTTATAAAAAAAAAAAAGCCCAGCCCGGCTCCTTTGCATAAATGTAGGTACCTTTTAGCGCTAGTTTATGATAGCCATTTTGTAATCTCTATATGCTAATGGCTGAACACATCCGACACCGTTTTGACAGAATTGTAATGTGCTGAAGGTAGGGATGCACGATGATATCGGGACAACATCGGTATCGGCCGATAAAAGCTAAAATGACCATCATCTGCATCGGCCGATATGAATATTTCTGCCGATAAGCCTTGCCGATAGGGTGGCGTGTTTCCTATGCGCACATGACGACCGTGAACGAAGCATGAGCGCCAGCAACTTAAACTTCCAACTAGGGGTGTGCGTCTCACGGTTTTTGATCATGGACGATTAAAATGTCTCCACGATCTGCTTTTGAAGAAAAATCATAGTATCGTGCATTCTATCAGTTCAATTCTGGCGCCTTCATCTCAACACACTGTACAACGCGACGTACATTCACATCACATCACATGTAAACGCAGAGGTAGAGTTCCCTTTCAAGGCGGTCACTTCGACATTATACCATGGTCTGGGTGAATACTCGATTCTGATTGGCTGCAGGGTGTCCGTTAAAAAGTGATAGAGGACACCTAGTAAAGGAGTTCTGGTGAAACTGCCTGTTTACCGTTACAAATTAATAAATAAATGCGCTGCCTACAACAGCTGTGAGTAACCATAGCAACAGGCAGTCAAAGTATCCGTTAACAATTTGCTCTATCAAAACAAACATCTAACGTTAGTTAGATATTACATAGCCTACTAATACAACAATGAGCGACTTCGTTATTTCATCTTCAGTCTCTCACGGACTGACGGAGCCCAGTAAGCCCGCAGACTGCTCTCGCATCGATGGCCTGTCACCGACATTATTTGACGGCTCTCCAGTCCAGCATCGGAGAGTCGACCTACAGCGGTGCTTCGGAGGCTGTGGTTAGTGTAGACTAGTGTTACACATAGTGTTTTATGTGTAATAAAAAAATAACTATGCCTACCTTTGTGTTTCATGAAAAAAAAAATGCATTTTTGAACCTGAAGGGTTCTACAAGCTGAGCGGACTATATATCTCAAGTTGCTAAATAAATCGTCAGGCAAGTTATTATTTAAAAAAACTAGATTTAGCCTAATTAAAATATAAACTAATGTTTTATTTGGCAAGTGACCATGGTATAAGCGGGTTAATGCCCTTCGAGGTGTCCGTTGTAAGGTTTTAATGGACTTCGGCGGAGGCAACCGTCCTCCGCTGCGCGTCGGCCGGTTTACACCTCGCCGTCGTCCATTAAAACCTTACAACGGACACCTCGTCGGGCATTAACCCTTACTTACGTCATACTGACGTATATGGGAACTCCTCCCTTCTCCATTTTCACTGAAATCTTATAGGATAACGCCAGCTGGAGACAGCTGGCCAATTGACGCAAAACATGCAAATGCTGACCGGTCCGCGGTGCGGGATAAATAGCATTGGCGCGACAATTACGTCAGAATCTCTTTCTTCATGCTAGAAGTCTTATCTGAAGTCATCGTGGAAGTTGCAATAGAGGTTACTCACCATGTTTCCTCCCCACATCCGATGGCTGCTACATGCCACATATATGCGGTATTGACTCACTCTACCCAAACAAGGATCTACCGAGGCCGCACTCACGGACGACTGGCATACGTGCTGGTCTACCAGTGCGCGCCCTCATAAACTCCGGGCATCAGCAGGGATGAGGCCCACTGCCGCCAGCGGCTGCTGGTGGGCCCTCTCACGCCCAAAGAAGAGTTGACAGTCGTTCTCCCCTGTGGCCCAGTGGCGGAACCTGAAGCCTTCGCGCGAGAGACCCGTGTTCGATCCCGGCTCTCGCAGCAGATACATTTTAAACCTGCCCGTCGCCTCTCCGGTCCTTTTCGCGGGCTCGCTAGACGGACTCGACGCGATAGGCTTCGTCGGAAAGGATACTTTTATTATTTTACTTAGCCCGGTATCTAACAGCCAGGCTACTTCAAGAAAGATTCCGTCTTCACGACGTCCTATGGTAAGTCATGCGAAGACGCATCCAGAGAGACGAGGCAAGGCGATGGCTCTGTGTCTGAAGGCGCGAAAGTGGTTGTTTCCCCCTGTGGCTCAGTGGCGAAACCCAAAGCCGTCGCACGGGAGACCCGTGTTCGATCCCAGCTCTCACAGATAAAATTTAGTCGCGCCGCGGCCAGACATTAAACCGAAACTTTTGATCTCTATACGTCCAGCCTTCCTCGATGTCTCTCTTCGTCGGCACCTCGTCCCGCCTAATTCGGCTACAGCCGCCAAAACGGTTCGAACCCGTAACGAACCGGATCTTCACCGTTGGCAGAGGGTGGGACCGGGAATGTGGCGAGACAGGCCACGGAGAGCGCCGCGTCAGGACGCCCCGCTCTGGTAATGGAGGTGCACAGCTTACAGCTTATGTCGTCAGGCTGCCGTGTATCCTTCAGTGCAACTGGCCATTCTGATTTAACCACGTATCCACAGTTGTTGTCGCTACGCCACTGACGCTGTGTTTATGTTCAGACTAAACACTGATATGTGCTATGATTTGTGCCGTCATATATTGCCCTGTTTCTTTCAGTGCGAATGGCTATTCTGATTACCACGTATCCACAGTTGTTGTCGCTATGCCACTGACGCTGTGTTTATGTACACACTGCACACTGATATGTTCTATGGTTTAACTGTTATATCCTTATATATTGCCCTGTATCCCTCAGTGCAACTGGCCATTCTGATTTAACCACGTAATCACAGTTGTTGTCGCTACGCCACTGACGCTGTGTTTGTTCACACTGCACACTGATATGTGCTAAGATTTGCGCCGTTATATGCTGCCCTGTTTCTTCAGTGCAAATGGCTATTCTGATTACCACGTATTCACAGTTGTTGTGCGATGAAATGACGCTGTGTTTACGTGCACTCTACACACTGATATGTGTTCATGATTCATGCCGCTATAAATTGCCCTGTATCCTTCAGTGCAACTGGCTATTCTGATTCACAGTTGTGCGATGCCACTGACGCTGTGTTTATGTACACTGATATGTGTGTGTTATGCTTATGCCACGATATTGCCCTGTATCCTTCAGTGCAACTGGCTATTCTGATTACTACGTATTCACAGTTGTTGCGTTGCAACGGACGCTGTGTTACGTACACACTACGCACTGTTATGTGTATGATTTATGCCATTATATATTGCCCTGTTCCTTATCCTTCAGTGCAAATGGCTATTCCGATTACTACGTATTCACAGACTTGCGATGCAACTGACGCTGACGCTGTGTTACGTACACACCGTACACTGCGTTATGAATTTTGCCGTTGTTACCCTGTATCCTTCAGTGCAAATGGCTATTCTGATTACTACGTATTCACAGTTGTTGTGCGATGCAACTGACGCTGTGTTACGTACACACTACACAGCGTTATGTGTTGGGATCTATGCCATTATATGTTGCCCTGTAATTTTCAGTGCAAATGGCTATTCTGATTACTATGCAGTACGTATTCACAGTTGTTGTGCGATGCAACTGACGCTGTGTTTATGTACACACTACACACTATGTGTTATGAATTTTGCCTTTGTATTTTGCCCTGTATCCTTCAGTGCAAATAACTATTCTGATTACTACGTATTCACAGTGTGGTGCGATGCAACTGACACTGTGTTACGTACATACAACTCACTGTTATGTGTATGATTTATGCCATTATATATTGCCCTGTTTCTTTCAGTGCAAATGGCTATTCTGATTACTACGCAGTGCATATTCACAGTTGTCGTGTGATGCAACTGACGCCGTGTCTATGTACACTCTACACACTGTATGTGTTATGATTTATGCCGTTGTACATTGCCCTGTATCCTTCAGTGCAAATGGCTATTCTGATTGCGGTTGTGCGGTGCAACTGACGCTGTGTACACGCTACGCACTGATGTGCTATGTTTACGCTGCTAAATATTGCCCTGTATCATCAGTGCAACCGGCTATTCTGACTTACTATGTATTCAC